AAAATGTGTTGCGGTTTTGGAAATTGTATCGAAGGAGGTAAGGGAGTTGTATCTTGCAGAATCGATGTCAACGGTGGAAGATGCGGACCTCCTTTTTCATTCGGAGGTTCAATAATTCTATAAAAAGAATAAAATTTATTTAGATAAAGTTTATGAAAAAATCGAAATTAATAGATGATTATATATGCGCTTTAAAGATACTTACGGTGGTGATGGTAAACTATGAACACATTCGATTGAAGAATTAGAGGTTGGAAACTCTGGAATTTTTTTTGGTGGAGGATGACCAATCGGCGGCAAAGAACAAATCGAATTCACATCCATTATATTCAATCCTTGAACGGAATTTAAAGAATCAAAATATGCACATATAATAAACAATCATTAAGTTCAAACTCGAAAAAGACGCATACCAAACCACAAACAAATTCTTTGAAAAGTATAATCGATGGTATAATAAAGAAGCCTTAGATAATAAAAGGGAGGAATTTTGCGAAATCAACGATAGGTATGTTTAAGAGAAGCTTTGCACGACTTTTAGTTCTGTAGCGATACAAAAGTAATAAGACTCCTAATAAAAAAAAATATCCTGAACACTAGTATAGATGAAGACAGGATGTTTTCCAAGTAATAAGTAATATTCGAAAAAAAGCTATATAATGAGAGGTGGAAAAAAAAAACTTCCCAGCAAGGGGGAAAGAGGTGTATTTATATACTAAAATAATAAAATAAATCGTTAACTGATATTATACTGTATTTGATGATTGAGCATTCATCGATGCAGATAAACAACCGTATTCATCATTCATTCATGTATATACACGATTTGCAATGAATAGTGATATTTTAGTGGTACAATGAACGGTCCAGATTTGTTCTTTAATGTAATTATGTTACAGTAAGAAATTTAAATATAAAGCAAAAATGGCTCATATATTGACAGTTGTACACTGTATCACGGTGATATCATTGTAATTATTCAACTAGAGAAAGAGTGATTTGTAATTTGAATCACTCTTGTGACCATCTTCAAGTCACCAACCCCCAGATATCTATTTCACGATCTCACGATTCA